GTCAGCAAATGGAACGTTTAAGTTAAGCTCTTCATCAGAAATGCCCTTCACTCATCAATCAAAAAGGCGTTCTTGCTCTCCACAACAATGCATGTCCATATGTGGCATGTTTGATGCAACACAAAATAATGGAGTTGGGTTGGGAAGTTCTCTCCCACCCACTATATTCTCCAGATATGGCACCATCAGATTACCATCTTTTTTGTTCGCTGCAACACTTTCTTAATGGGAAAATATATGCAAATGTGGAAGATATTAAGAGGACATCGACATGTTTTTTGCTTCAAAGCCAAGTGATTTCTTTAATCAGGGCATTAACAACCAGATTGTAAGATGGAAAAGTATCATCGATAAGAATGGAGACTATTTCATTTAATAAATGTTTTGTTTTGATATACAAGTTGTTCAGATTTTTTCATCTAAAAATAAGCAACATTAATTTCTTGACAACCTAATAGAACAAAGATTAGGCAAGAATCTTCTGTATTTGGCATGCTGGGATCATATCTTATAATTTGTCCTGGCATGTGTTTTTAAAGGATGTATGGGGCTTTCCTTTGGTCCAGATATTGCAATTTTGAATTGATTATAGCAACCTGGGGAATGCATGGACCAGTCCAATTATGAAGCTGCAGCTGACCATGATGAAGTAGCAGAAGCTAAAGAGGAAGTTAAGGACAGTATCATCAAGTTTGCTATAATATAACTTCAAGTCAGCCACCCTTGAGATTATCATTGACAGCTTCTTGAAGTAGTCATAACTTTAATGGTGGCATCCTTCCTCATGAAGCATGATCTATAGCACCAGGAGCACTGCATCACGCAGAACAGATGGCCAAGGCATTATACACAATGAAGATCTGGATATTTATGGGACAGGTTAAGCTCACTGGTTCCGAGGAAAGAGGAGTCTGTGACATTTATGTCTTTGTTGAGTCTACTGTAGGCCATGGTTCATTGCTCCCGATGTTATATTTACTTAATGCTATGATCTTAACCCCATAAAATGCCTTGTTAAGTATATGAAGGTGAATTCTGCTCTTTCAAAATCTGCATTTCAAAAATTTGCTGGATATTTATGGTATTTCAACAAGAACTCTTGGTTTGGCATTCTTTGATCCAGCTGTATCTGCAAAGACAAAACTGGCAATGGTAAAGATACTAAATGAGAAGGAAGGCATTTATGAACCTTCAAAAACCATCCAGCTGAATATCAGGAAGTCTAAGAATACGTCAAATGAAAATTTTATTACAAAGGACATAACAGACTTCTTCTGGTGACTTGAAATTCCATCTGGAGTATGACCCAGAGTCACAGGTGCATAGAAGGGACTACAAGAAGGCACTAAAGAGTTCATTACTTGAATGTGGTAAATGACAATGCTGAAAAGGGTACTATTATAACAAAGAAAGAACAGAAAAAATTCCTCCTTCAATTTGTGAAGGATCATAGAAGATGCTTTTTTAACAGCAAAAATGAAACAATGACAATGCAAATGAGTAACCACACCAAAATAATATAAAAACATATAATTAAGTAACTATACTATAGTACATGCAATAAAATATTTCAAATAAATCATTTATAATACATAACAAATATGCTTTTATATCACATACTGCAAACAGTACTAAACCACTAAAATCTGGAACTCCAATCTCATTGAGAAACCTCTAAATATGGTTCAAAAATGGATGAAGTCTGAGATGTAATATTTTTTTGTACATTGTAACAAAATTAGAGGTACAGAGCTTTAGAATTTTTAACCCGAACTTTTCCCTGCAAATAAAGACTACCCTAACGTTCAGTAGTACAAAAAAATAGAAACATGCCATCAGCATCATACCTTTTTTATGGGTTAACTTGAAATCTGAAGGGCATCTGTTTAACCACAGCTGTACATGGAGACAAAGAAATAAATTGGCAAGGGTTGGCCTAAAAGCAAATCCAATCACTATGCTATCTGTCTAATCATAAAGCTGATCATTAAAGATAAAGTTATTGTACTTAGTTTGTTCAAGTAGTGCCTTAAAAAAAAAACTCTCAACCATTTATTTCTTTGTCACCATGAGCAGTTGTGATTAGACAGGTGCCCTTCGGATTTCAAACCCACCCTGTACAGAAGATATGTCATGTTTCTACTGTTTCATAATTTTCAACATGTAAACAAAATTTATATTACATTAATTACCAATAGCATAGCATTAAGTTCACCTCTGAGATTAAAAATAAAGGCAAGTCACCCTCTCTGAGTGTTTTGATCAACTGCTTAAATGACCAGTTTACCACATCCAATGTGAAGGAATTAAATAGGTTTCTCAAACAAAATCTGCTAAAAGCATCTTATCCTTTACTCGGAAATAGCATTTCTCTTATAAGACACACTGAATAAGATGGTTTCCCTAAATACTTTCTGGAAAGTATAACAAATAAATTTTCTGCAAAAAAACTACAGTGTTTCAAAATTTCCATTAATTCTAATCCTTCCTTTTTTAGCAGGACAGAGCAATATTATACACATTCAAGTTAAAACTAATTAAGAACTTTTACTCCAATTTACATACTGCTTACAAGTCAACTTTCAAGATTCATAAGTTGTTCCATCACAAAAATATACCCCTATTCCCCTACATCCATGGGTTTTTATCAATATATTGACTGTAAGACCACCTATACTGGCAAGACAAAATGACAATTAGAAATATATGCCTATGAACATATAGGAATATCACACAGAAACTGGTAAAAAAAAAAACTATTAAATTTGTACAACTACACAAGGAAATTGTGACACCTCTGTAAATAACTTCAGAATTTTGGTGTGAGGTTCTTCTCGTTAGAAAGTGCTTACAAAAGAAAGTTCATATACATCAAATGCCCAAAACTCAACAACAACCAAAGCTCATATCAACTATCACTATTTTCATTTTGATTTTTGTTTCTAGTGCCTATTTAAATATTTAATGTTATGTTAAAACTGTTTTGAATTAATGCACGGAGGACCATTGATCACATGTTGGGTTTCTCAATATTAAAGTCACTCTCAATGCAGGAAATACTTATTTTCAATGTCAATTGATTTATATACCCCTGTATGTTAGCAGATATTAAAATTATAGTCTTTGTATCAAACCCAACATTTACTCTGTCAAGAATGGATCATCTAACAGATCGGCTGCAGAAGCTCGTTGATCAGGATTCGTCTCAAAACACCTGTCAAAAAAAATTCATAATGAAACCATTTTTCATCACAAGTATTTATCTTCTCATCTTTTTTGTAAATATAATTTGTAAGTGTTAAGCATGTAAGAACATTATTTTTTTTATGAACACCTGTCAAAAAAAATTCATAATGAAACCATTTTTCATCACAAAGTATTTATCTTCTCTTCTTTTTTGTAAATATAATTTGTAAGTGTTAAGCATGTAAGAACATTATTTTTTATGAAAATAAATGATGTAACAAGAATTACTTTTTGAAACTTCACATAACTAAAAAAATATAACATTAAAAATAAATATTGGTTATTAAAAACAGCAATAAGCTGACAATTGATTTAACCTTTTCACAATGGGCTCAATATAATATACACAAGTTAAGTATTTATACTATAAGTTTTAATGCAGTAAATGTATTTTCACGAAATTTGGTAGAATTCTGGTAAGGATCACAAGTCTTTTGTACACAAAAAATCAGATTTTTTAATTAAGTATTTGTATTACAGATTTGTTTGTGAAAATATTGAGTCAGTTTCATTACCAGTTCAAGTGTGAAGTGATTTTCATGTTATAACTAAAAAACTATTGTTCATCCCAAAAAACTCACATTATTTGTGTAATCTCTAAAACCTCCTAAATACATTTCAAACATTTGTTTTTGGTAAAACTATATTTTTTCTGTTATTTTCTCTACCCTAACTCTATGGGGTCTGTCAGTTTGACTGGCCTCGTAACCACCATAAAAAATTGGGAAATAAATTTAAATTACACTTTTTTCATTCTAGAATGACTACAGATTATAACACAAAAACACAAATGTTTAGTCTAAATAGCATAAACTTCATAACATTATACATTTAATATTCTTACTAATTTGACCTTCCAGCTATGATTGGCTAATAATACAGAAGTTACAATAGTATGGCACATGTGCATTCGTGATACTGTATCCATTAATATAAAACTGACCTTTCATCATTACAAAATGACCTGATTTGGCTGTGTTTTAGTGGACTAGTATTTTGCAAAATACAGTCTCATTTCAATTATTACACATTATACATGTATATACATTAATAGTATTTACAAATAAGTTCTTAAACTTATTTTTCTTAAAACACAGAATAGTAAATAAAGAAGTATAGCAAACAATTATCTCTTCTAGTTACGACCTTTGTATTCATTTCCTGCATGTCGTAGGTTGCTCAGCCTTATGAAATTTCCCACATGGAGGATGCGGAAATTTTTTTTTTTTTTAGGTTTTATATA